GTTACAAATGGAATATACCAGTGAAATGGAGACTTGGGAGTTCAACAAATTATACTTTCTACAACACATCAGATTCTGCAGGTAAACTTCCCCTTCTCTTGTAAGAGTAGTGAATAGATAAAGCTTTTCAATGTCCTTAACAAGAAATAAAATACAGAATAACTTTCATGCTTTTCAGTTTTCAGATCTGGGAACCAGCACACAGATTGGTTGCGCTGAAGTTAGTAGTTATTTCTGCAGTAAGATGATTATTTCCCCTATACACACATTATGTCAATTTAGGCTCAGTTCAGTAAAGTGCTTGTGTTTAAATCCAGTCCTATTCAAGGAAGCCTCTAAGCCTACTCTTAATTATGATGTACTAAAATCAATGGGACTTAGATACATCCTTTGTCAAGTCTAAGAAAAGAGATGAAATGGGAGGCTGATGAATGCATCTGTGGCATGGTAAACTGGCAATCTGAGTTCAGTTAAAAAGCTCCAAATGATTAAACACATTTTCTAATCCTGATTTCCGGAGTAAGGAAATACCTACATGGGTATTTTTCATGACTGTTCTATTATGCAATCAAATATGAATTTCTCATTCTATAACTCTAGTGGCCAAAAATGGGGGAAAAAAAGAAAAAAGTTACTGACTTTTTGAATTTTTAAATTTTGTCACATGTTGGAATTTCAGAAATATCACAATCAGCTCTTTTGAGAACTTGTTTGAATGTTACCTATTTAAAATGTAATTTGTCTTTTGTTCTGCTTTTTTTTTTTATCTGGTTGCTTTTAGTATCCAAAAGCAAACAAAAAAAGTCTTATGTCATGATACAAGTCAGAGATCAACGCAAAAAAAATTTCCTTCTCTAACTTCCACATGACATTACAGTGGGCTGCAAGGGGCTATTAACTTGACAGAGCCTGCAAAGGCATGATTAAGTGCTTACTTCCACACCCATAAAAATCTCAGCTAGTAGGGCAAACAGCAACAGCATGGAAAAAAATGCCCTTTAAAATACCTTGTATGGATCATTCAAACAGAAAAGTGACTTTAACTCCAGCCACCCTCAAACCACAGACTGAAGACCACTGCTTTCAATGGACAATAGAAAAACGTTCATAACTGGCAGCACCAACTGGACCAGACCAAGCTTCTAAGAAAGGAACATTTTTCAAGGATTCATTTTAAATGGGAAATTCCTTAAACATGAGTGCTTGAGTAAAGTCTCAACCTATTTTGTAATTCCTTTATCTATAGCTACAAAAACTGAACCAGAGAAGAGTACAGGGAAGAAAAATCTTAAAAAGTTAGTTGAAATAAACTGAAAAATGAAATGAATGGAGGATAAAATATGAGAACTTTAAAACTAATAGTAATCATGAGGGTGAAAAATATTTTAAAAGAGATATTTGAAAGAGCTGTTTCTTTGCAATTTTTTGCTTTTTACAGTGACAGTAATTTTCACCATCCTCACCCTCATCACGATGATCTCCGTTTTACATTTAACAAACTAGCTGGCCCAAGTAATCACCACAATTCACTATTCTAAGGCAAGTGCTGGCATTCATTAAAGTCTATAATAACTTATCTTTACTCACAGCCATTTAAAAAATAAATAAATAAAATTAAGGTTTGGATGTTATTTTGATATTCATTAAAACCAAACATTACTTTTGGAGTTAAGGAATCTCCAGTGAGCTCTGTGTCATATAAGATGCGCAAACCGATCACTGTTTGTTTATTTTGCAGGAATTATAATAGCATCACCTCCTAATACTTTTGTGAACGTTAACCCAGATCACATTGGATTCTATCGGGTGAACTATGATAGTCAAAACTGGGCCAGGTTAGGCACTCTTCTGGTCAGCAACCACAAAGTGAGTGTCATAACATTAGCCTGTCTGGTGGGTCTCTTATAAAGGTCTGCAGATGCTGTTCTTTTTGCAAATAATCTATACATTCTTGATCACTCTTTTCCTCTTTTCACACAGAGTTTTTCAGCTGCTGACCGTGCAGGGATTTTGGATGATGCCTTTTCTTTAGCAAGGTAAACTAACTCCCTGCAGAGATTTCAACACAAGTTTTTTCATTTTTCATTGCCTATTAATTAGAATTAACTCAACTCAGGTGGTTGAAAGAAGATTCCTGAATTGGTTACAAGTCTTAATTATTTATTGGTTTATGTTGTCCTCCAAAAGGGGGTAAATTCAAGTATGCATTGGCAACTTGCAGTACCAATGCAGTCAAGAAAAATGCTCCCCTTCAGTTCAGTGGCAGAAAAAAATAGGGCTTTAATTGCACAGGTCTTAGAAAGGGGTGTTTTTGCCATGTAAGTAACAATAATAGAAGCACTCCAGAAGAGGTTAGGTGTCCAGAAAATCAGAGGCATGCCTACAATGCATAGCATGGCATTAGGAAGTTACCACCTCAGCTATCTTATTTAGAAACTTGCTTGGAAACTTCTAGCTCTTGTACCCAGCCACGCTGACACAGATAAACTTCAGGCGACCTTCTGTGACAGCCTGTTAAGTCTAAATCTCCTCAGCCTTTCAGGATGTCTCCAGAACTAGCAATCTCTTTTTGTGTAAGAGAAGTTAATGTAGTCAGTTGAGGGCTATCCACTTCTGGGCACGCTGGGCTGCTACACAATGTGAGCAGCCTCCTCATGGAAGTGAGAGCTCCTGCAGTTGGGCATCGATCAACAGTGATCCTCGGTGGTCTCTTCGGAAAACACCTCCCAAGTTGCATTCCAGACTATTTTCCCCCTCCCCAACTTTATTATTTCAGACTGTCTAAAGTAAATATTGTTCTAATATCTTTAAAGAAGCAAGTCCCCCAAATTCATTGAAATAACAGAAGTTATGTTTTCTCCTTCCACAGATCTGGACTTGTGAATTACTCTGTTCCCCTGGAGCTCACAAAATACCTAACAAATGAAACAGACTATTTACCTTGGCATAGGGTTATATCATCTGTAACTTACCTTGCAAACATGCTTGAAGATGATACAAATCTCTATCCCGGTTTCAGGTGATGAAGCAAAAAAAAATTCCTGCATTGGACCACTGGATTTGACGGTTCAGGATCTGTAACAGCAATAATATTGAAGTTCGAGTAATTTTCAATTGTGCTGAGCTATCACTATTTACTTTTTGTTACTATACTCTTTTAAAAAGTGCTGAAAACTGCTTAGTACCAATCTCTGAATCACCTGGATTCTCAATTCAGGGCTATGCACTTGGAGAAAAGAAATTATGCCTGATTATTCTTATAATCCATCACCATAAGTCACAGTACAGATTTTTGTTAGTCAAGGTTGTTCTGCATCCAATAAAGAAGTATGTATAGGGCAACAAAATCTCTGACACCTGTCCTCAGCATGAAGGATGGCTGTATCTCATTGTGGCAGTGAGCAGGTTTATTAGTTGACCTAACATGCTAAACATGATTTAATAGTCACTAAAATAAGTATGTCCTGAACTAAGCATTATCTCTGGAAAACAGTTGTGGCAGTGTGTCCTTGCTGTGCCCCAGCCTTCATTTGGGAACACAGACAAGGCTGGAGAGAAGCAGGTTGCCTTTGTCCTACCTGCGCATCAGTATTGCAAGCATTCAGACTTGGCATGCCGTGGTGATCTGGAAAGGTTGTGTGTGTGCATGTGTTATTTTTAAGAGAGATGCTAGTTGTGGGAAAAATGAAGGACCATAAACTAAGAGCACAAATATACTATTATTTATTTAAAGAAACTACACAAGTAACCAATTCTCTTTTTTTTTCTACCTCAGGAATATTTTCGCTACCTGGTAAAACCCATTGTGGATCAACTGCACTGGAATGATTTTGGAGGCCATTTGGAGAGGTTGAACAATCTTTTTTTTTTCCTTCTCATATTATTGATGGATTCAAAGAATACTAAGCAGTAGTAAAATACCTCTCTCTCTCTTAAAGGCTTCTTCGTGCATCTGTTCTAGACTTTGCCTGTAGTGTGGATGACACAGAATCTTTGAACAATGCTTCTCAACTATTTGAGCAATGGCTACAAGGAAAAACGTGAGTGCTCACAGCTTTTATGGCTGGTGAAGAACACGGCATGTGACTTGGTCACAGACCTCAAGTAGGAAAGTGGGAAGAATATTCAAATACTGTTTCTTTATTTTAGTATTCCTGTAAATCTCCGACTCCTAGTATATCGCTATGGGATGCAGAACTCAGGCAATGAGTCATCATGGAATTACATGTTCAAGAAATACCAAGAAACTTCATTAGCACAAGAAAAAGAAAAGCTGCTGTATGGCCTGGCATCCGTGAAGAACATCACCCTTTTGAACAGGTGATTTAAACACACAAAGATTTTTCTTTATCACCATTTGCTCATTCCCCTCTCCTCTCTCCTGTGCTGTCATTTTTGTCAGATTGCAGCATGAGGAATGCAACACATTTTCAAGACCAGTTATCTAACACCCCCCTCTGAGATTGTACCATAGTAGAAAAAAAGCCTTGCTCCTTTAGTGAAAAGGTATTGAACACATGGTAGTTTCTGCACACAATCAGCAGCCTTCAGCTCTTCCAGCAGTGCCTTCACCCTGTGTAATTTTAGCTGCCTAATAGTTAAGCATCAGGAGAAAATTAGTCGTCTATGTTTCCTGTGTAATGAGTGAAGGGAGTCAGGACCTCCAGAGCACTGTTTATCCCAGACCAAGAAAGGGACTTAGAATCAATGGGAAGAATTGCTTTTGGGTGTTGCCAGTCATCCTTGATTGGCTACAAAGGGAGTTTGCTTAGATTAGAAGTCTACCTTCTAAGTAGCCAAAATTAGGCAAACAACCTTGAGCAATTGTTACTAATAGTCCTATGAAGGCATCCATGTGAAGTTGTAATGCTCCCTGAAGTGTGGTGCAGAGGTGCTTGAGCTAGAACCAGAAATGATGTATTCATGCCGCCATAGCAGCGATGGGGAGCCTGGATACTGCCCCAGGCTGGTCCAGCTGTCCGACTGGGCGAGCATCTCCCCAGGCTGCCGCTCTGCATAGACACACCAGCTCCTTTAAGCTTATTGTTGTGGTTTAACCACAGCCAGCAGCTAAGCACCACACAGCTGCTTGGTCACTCCCCCACGGTGGGATGAGGGAGAGAATCAGAAGAATAAAAGTGAGAAAACTCATGGGTTGAGATAAAGACATTTTAATAAGCAAAGCAAAAGCCACACATGCAAGCAAAGCAAAACAAGGAATTCGTTCACCACTTCCCATTGGCAGTCAGGTGTTCAGCCATCTCCAGGAAAGCAGGGCTCCATCACGCGTTATGGTTAGTTGGGAAGACAGATGCCATAACTCTGAACATCCCCCCCTTCCTTCCTCTTCCCCCAGCTTCATATGCTGAGCATGACATCATATGGCATGGGATATATGGTACGGGATATCCCTTTGGCCAGCTGGGGTCAGCTGTCCCGGCTGTGTCCCCTCCAAGCTTCCCGTGCACCCCAAGCCTACTCACTGGTGGGGTGGGGTGAGAAGCGGAAAAGGCCTCGACTCCGTGTAAGCAATAACAGAAAACATCTCTGTATTATCAACACTGTTTCCAGCACAAATCCAAAGCATAGCCCCATACTAGCTACTGTGAAGAAAATTAACTCTACCCCAGACAAAACCAGCACACTTATCAGATAACTTTGCATGTAGTTGCATCATGTAGCAGAGATGCAAGCAAACACCTTCACCAGGGCCATTCACCACTTTGTTGGAGCCCTATCTAAATATCATAAGATGGAGCAGTCTCTGCCCGGAAGAGTTCCAAGTTTAAACAAGATGAAACTAGATGAAACAAGGAAGTATTGGAGATTCAAGAAGAGTGAATGTAAGAGAGTAATTAAAATAGTGGTAGGATGCAGCTGTATTCCTAGATCCTTGTGACCACAACAACCATAATATAAAGCCATTCTGTAACTGCTGGCACGATTAAGACATGGATTAATTAGCTAGGTCAGTCTATATTTGCAGAAAATAAAAAATCTCCCCTAAAGCAGGGAGAACTTGTCTCTTAATTTACTATTAAAATAATGGGGAAGGGGAAAAAAGCAATCAGATTGAGAAAATTGTCCTTACATACAGGAAAAGAGAAGACAATCCTTAATCCTACAACATCTTAAGGGTGTTCTGCAGCTCTTGCTGTGAAGCCATGACCATGCTGCTCATCTCCTTGCAAATGTGCGTGCTAAGGGATCCCTCCACTGTCAGTCAAAACCATTTGTGCTGTAACTGGAAGCATAACTGCAGCACTTGCAGGCACGCTATGCCCAAATGAATTTTAATTTTGTGTGGATAAGAGTTTCAGAACAGACAGCACAGGTTTCAGTGTGATTAAACCACCTGGGTGTATACTCATGGTCCTTATAAGATCTTTATAGCCTGGACTACTACTTTTTTGGCACTTGTCTACCCAAACAGGCTGGACTACTTACTGATCCAGTCTTGTTTTCACTGCTTGATTAAAATAAAGGAATAATAATGGGTTTTGCCTATTTTCATGTAACTTAGAGACATAAACCCTACTTAGTTTCTAAAGAGATGCCTAACTGCTTAGATTTCTTTCAATACAATTATCTCTTGACACAGTTATCAACAGATACTTATGTTATAGATCAGTGTTCTTCACCTTTAAAATACTGTAGGCAAAAATAATCTTCCTGCTTGGAAATCAGCTGTAGACGGTAGTGGCAATTACTTGAGAAATATAGACATTAGCATTGCATTTTTTCTCATCATCATCAGTTAAGTCACCACTGAAAGTGTTAACTTATTACTTGCTTTCCTTTTTCATGAAAGGTTCTCATTGATTCTTATGGCATTTCCCTTAGGTATCTGAAATATATTTACAACACCAGCCTCATCAAAAGCCAAGATGTGTTCACAGTCCTGAGATACATCTCGTATAACACCTATGGGAAAACAATGGCCTGGGACTGGATACGACTTAACTGGCAGTACTTAGTTGACAGGTACGCTAATGAACTTATTGGAAACTTTAGGTCTACATCCATCTGTATATCTTGTTATATGCTATGCTTTTCTATATTTTCACTCTACAGTTATAATCACTGGCCTTTGCATAATGAAAACTGAAAGCGTATTCAACACTTTATATCCATCTGCTATGAAAAAGTGCTTTGCTGCTAACTTGAAAACCATTATTTCCCTAAATGATCACTACCAATAAATGGTGATTTAAAAGTATAGAAAGTTCTACCAAGAAATCTGGTTATAGCATGGCAATTAGTCAGTCATGTTTCCACTCCTTCTATTGATTTCATAAAAAGAAGGCTGTATAGAATTTTTTTTAACTCCTAGTGGTAACAGCAAGTATCTGACATAGAGATGAGCAGTGGAAGTAATAGCAAACCTCTTAGCTTTGCTCCTCTGTATTTGAGTGACTTCTGTCTCCTTCCTTCTCCTTTCTAAGTGCTTGGTGAGGGCACAGAAGCAAAGCACAGCTGCAAGCCTAGAGCTGTGAACTGGACAGCATTTGTATTGCTGAGCAGCATTACACCTAATTTTAAGCATGAGACGATAAGTCATCAATTAAAAAAAAAAAATCCACCAGAAGAGATCACTCCATTAGTAAACATATTTGAGAACAGCACAGATCTTGTATAGGAGTACTATTTTTCAAGTATTTTAAAAAATGCTGAAATCTGAGTGCATCTGTTTTATTGTAGCACAGTTAGAAATCAAAGCTTCGGATAATTACTTGTGCCTTTTCTTTTTTAATGCTTTTGCATCAAACACCATTTATTAAATTGTTTTTCTAGATTCACTATCAATGACAGAGGCCTTGGTCGAATAGTAACTATCACCCAAACCTTCAACACTGAGCTCCAGCTTTGGCAGGTATGGTGACAGCTTTTCTCTTAGTTTTAAGTCAATATACTCAACAATCTACTGGCCAGGAAACTTGACTTTTTATCCTCTAAATGTGTAAAGCAGCGTGAGTTACTGTAAAACTATTCCAGTGCTACTAGGCTGAGCTTAAATATCTCTCCCAGCCAAAACTGCCCTTGACCAGGTCCCTGTAAAAAGCCACTTGCCCAATAGCAGCATTATTTGCTTTATGTCAATTCTTTTTCTCTCTCTTTTACAGATGGAAAATTTCTTTGAGAAATATCCTAATGCTGGGGCAGGAGAATTGTCCAGGAATCAGTCAATTGAGCAGGTGAAGAACAACATTGAATGGCTAAAAGCAAACAAGGAAGAAATACGAACGTGGCTAGAAGCACAGTTAGGCCCTTAAAATCTTACTTTGTTAAAAATACCAGGCACTCATTCTGGGCACTGAGATCCTCAGAGATAGTTAGCAATGTGGATTTCTCACCTAGGCACCTTAAAGGACCAAGGCCTAATATTTTTTCTGCAAACTCAGGAGACCACTGCCAGAGCAATGTTTATGTAGTTGCTGATCCCAGATCCTGACAGCACTTGTGTGCAGGAATAGCTTTATGTTTTGAGAGATGAATTTGTCTGAACAAATAGGACAAATGTTTAAAGTTACTCAAGGCAGAAGTGATGGCAGAACTGGGGTCCTCGCTGATCAAGCTGATCTCACTCCTTCCACATACCACTCTGAAAAGCTACTTCTTGGTTCGCACAGAGGTATATCTAGTACACTCAGGGATTCCTTTCCAAGTACACTTCATAGGAGCTTTCTCCTGAAGGAAAGAGAATTAAGCAGTAATTTTAACATTGTCTGAAAATCATTCCCTATATTTATAGCCATAAAAATTCTACACTTGGGATTTAGTTTTGCATTATGATACTACAGAAAGGCCAGTTAAGCTTCCCTCTCCATTGATTTTTGAAATTTAACTACCAGTACACAAGGGATCGATATTATCAGCTTCTTTTTCAATATTAGTTGGGTTCTGTAGCTTGGGGTAGGGGTTGTCTTGGTTATTTTTTCCTTATTTCTAAATCTTCTCAAAAGAAGAACTTGTGGCAGCCATTACTGCAAACAAGATATGTGATACTGTCTTTTTTCTTAGAAAATAAAATAAAATAAAAAATCTACCTGGAAATCTCAGTCTCTTTCTAATAAAGTGGTAAAACTGTCTGGCTTATAGAAAACTAGCTGTTACATAGCCCAGCTATGCCATACATAGAGTTTCAGTGACTTTTGAGGAGGAAAAACCTATTATCTCCTCTGAGAAAATACCAAAAAAAGGGCAAATTCAGGCAGAGGAGGCAGATGAGTCCCGCTGCTGCAATTCAGTCTACTGCAGAAGCACACGCAGCAAAGAAACGACTCTCAGCCCCAAGTCCCTCTGCCACTATGATGCCGGAGAAGGCAGCGGGGCCACTCTGCCTGCCTCTCCCAGGCTGGGAGCTGGGGTGCCTTGGAGTCCCCAGGTTTCCATTTGCTGTGTGCTGACACCATCAGGCAGCAAATGTGAGCATCAGTCCCATCCTCCTTGACTTCTTCCCAGTATTCTGAGTGGAAAGGCACAGCAGAAGGGAACCACCTAGAGCCAGTCCCTACCCAGACACCCTGGGACAAGGACCAAGGAGCATCTAACAGTAGGTAGCCCTGGGAGACATGAGGCACAGCTGTCAGGAAACTCTGAAGCAAGATGGGAGGACAGAAGCATGGAAAGCACTTCTCTTCCCCTCATTCTGCAATGCTATTCAAAGGGAAAGTTAGAGATGTTGAGGAGATGGCTCTAATGTACAGAAATCCTGGGGTACAGGCTCTGCATGCCTCTGGGCCTTGGTACGGCACAGAGGGCTCCAGAGAAGCTTATATAGTCCCAGATAGAAACACTTCACCCCATTCCCCAGGAGATTCAGGGCTGGTACTGTTTTGGGCCTCTCCCTAGATACCCAAATAGCTGCAACAAGCCCAGACAGATCTGGTGACCAAGTCAGTTGTCCTGTCAAAGGAAAATGTCAGTCATTTGCCTTCTGCAAACAAACCGGGATTTTGACTAACAGTGGTTACAACTCGCTACAGATACCAGCTGTTCTTTAAGGTAGAGAGGTGGCAAAGGGCCAAACAATCTCTTCCCATTTTCTTCTTGCTCAGATTCACACATAGAGGACAGTGAAAGTGAAGCAGCTGCCCACACCCAAACCACCAGCAGCTCAGCACACGGGGAGCAGGCTGTCCTTGGACAGCTGCCCGCTCAGCAGGACACACACCAACTCGCCTTCACGATTTTACAGTTTCGACAAGTGAATTGAAGGAGCAGAAGCCAAACAACAGTCTTGGTTTCAAGGTCACAAACTGGTCTGGTAGCACCACACTGTAACACTATCAGCGTGTTGTATCAATAGTATGATCAGCTCAGGACAATTTTCTGTGCACTGCTGGTGCTGTATGTTTTAATTAAAAGTTTTTAACTCCAACTGGCCATGATGAGCAACAATGCAAAACCGATATGAAGATGTTCAAGCACATAGCTCAGTTGTTTTCCCTTTCAGAGAAGATTTAATGAAATTTGGCAGAAAGAACTGATACTCTAACTATTCATCGGCTTCTGCCACCATTTATTGTAGGAAGAGAAGTATGAGTACTATAGGAATGACACAAGATAAAGTAGTTACTTTAAGATATTTATATCCTTTGTTACATGAAGCCCCTACTATCACCGAGTGGGATCAGGCTGGCCAACATTGTTGGCTACAGTAGTAGGCTTTCATCAAGGAAAACATAACAAGTAATGATGATTTTCTGTGGTGCTGGAAAGCTATAGCAAAAGTAGCCTTCCTCCAAACCACAGAAACATACCACTGTTCAAGACAAGGCACATATTAGTAGCATTGTGTATCGCCATAGTAGAAAAAAATTTTAAAAGTCAATCAGAGAGAGACAACAGAAAAATACCACTGAGGCAGAGAGAGCAAGAAGCCAAGGGCAAGCCTGAACAACTATTGGGCTTATGACCCTGAGTGAATGAAGGAGAGAAGGGGATTTAAATAGTGAACCAAGCAGTTGCTGCCTGTCATTTGATTCTCACTCTGGTCAGGAAGACGGGACCATGTGCAGCTTTTGTGCCCAAGCCACACTGGATCAGAGAGACATTTGACTAGTGCTCGGATACTTTTGACGTTACAGAAAGTTTAGCTGCATTTCTATATTGATCTTAAGTGAGTAGGTGAACATGGAAATAAATCCAAAAGCCCTGGAAGAAGGCTGCTTTTATGGTAGGGTAAAGGTTCTGTCAATTTTAAATAATGTTCTCTGGATTATGCAGTGCTCCTGCTACCTTTAAATGGCTCATGGAGAATGTACTGTATGGCATGTGCCTCTTTCAGACTGTTTGTCCTAGACGGATAACAAATCTGGTACATGCTAAATCTTTCAGTCAGAAACTAGTGCATTTGCAAATGGTCTGTGATAAGCTTAAGAATGCCAATTTGAAACTGAATCCAAAGAAATGTGAACTGTTTTAAAAAGAGATAATTTTCCCTCGGTCATTCGATCAGCGAGGAAGGAATTTCCACTGATAAAGCCAAGTGAGGGAATGCAGAACTGGCTGGCCCCTTAGATCCACACAGCTTTTTGAGGCTCTGCGGTTCCTGTTGTACCACAGCAAAAGCTATTGCACGCAGTGAGGTAGAGAAACACTTTGAGTAATCAAAGTGTGATGTGGTGGAGTTAAAGAGGGGCCACTTATGACTGTTGCAGTGTTGCCTTACACTAGCTCTGCAAATCTTTCTCCTATCAACCACAGCTGTGCGTCCTATGGAGCCTGAGCCTGTGGGCCCCCAGGAGGCTGTAAGCCTGATAGGCACATGAAAATGCTTTATCTTGATGGTTCAGGTAAAGAAACAACTGAAAACATTGTACTACTGCATAGAACAAAAAATGAATACCACCAACAGCAAATACCAAGGTGTCTACAACTCCCCAACTGAGTCAGTTTCTAAAACAGCAGTTAAGATCACTACAAAGTATGCAGACATAAAAAAATACCATATACGTATGGTATGTCTCACTGTTGAAATATGACATGACTAGGAAGGATCCCTCCAGTCTTCCCAGAATGACCAGTGCCATTTCTTGGCTACCATCCTTTTGGTTGACGGCATCTTCCAGCAGCTTTTGGGACTCAAGGTGAAAGGGAAGAAGCTAGCTTGTGATGGGCACAGGAGAGACTAGCTAAACAGGGTCAGAAGGATAGCACCTTATCCTGGTGCTAGCAGCAGCAATACCATACTGCCAAATTAAAACTTCATCTTGTGTTATATGTATCCAATTATGAAAGTCAGTCAAACAAGGTTATGCTTGCTTTCGCAAGTGTTTAGGCAGAAGCCAGTTGACCTACGGCAGCTGCATGTATGCCTGTATGTGGAAAACTGGTACAGAAAGATATTGCTATATGAGACTAAGGAAATGTTCTTCAGCTCACAGGTACTACAGAGGTTCATATGGCCACCCAGATATCTGAACTTTTCCAAGATGCTCTTCAGGAAAAAACATGAATCTATTTAGAAAAGCATCTGAAATGTATTTGGTTCAGAGAAGTCTAAGAGTTTCTGGCTTTCCAGCATATATTCTAAAGAGTTGCGGGGGAAGAGCAAATCCTGAAAAATATGACCATGACATTGTAGCTGAGAGACACTGTTTTTAAGTAGCACCCACTAGTTGTTTCAGTAATCCCTCATCCACAGAAAACCTTTCCATATCAACCCTCTCCACAAATTGATGTCCAGAGACTGCTATCAAGCTGACATCTGCTTGCTGGTGGTTTAACGATGCTAAAACAATGTGTATGGATGGTCTCAAGAACCAGGCAGTCAGGGAAAAGAAGAGATCCAGGCATGAGAGAGAACTGGACCCTAACTCTTCAGAAGGAAGGCCAGGGATACAGGGTCATTATTCTTAGTAAGAATCAGAAGCTAATTTGAAATAGATATTGCAGTTATACATGTGATACCCACCATACAACCGTCGACCTAGCTTAAACCATCAATGTTAGTTTTCCTTTGGAGATGGATGAAATGGCCAGGTGACCTCTAAATATACTTTCCTTTGCTTTTGAATTTTTTTAATTGTTTGCAGTGAACAAGAGACTGGTCACTGATATGGTTTCTTCCAAGGAGTGAAAGGCCAAGCACAGATCATGAGGTTCTGCCATCCCAGAGTTCCCATTCTGTATTCCCTGCTGTCATATACATTCACACACCACAGGTCGGTGAAGAAGCCTCTCCAACCAGGAACTACATACCACAAAGCTACAGAGCTCGTACTTGTAGCAGCTCTGCCACTCAGGGATATTTTTTACACCTTTTGCAAAGAGGGGGCCTGAAACCAAACAACTGCAGGATGCTTTCTGGAGGGTAGTTAACGTAGCTATTAGCCAGAGAAAAAGTTGCACAACATTATGGCAAAAAAGGTGTTAAGCCATAGGTCAAGTTCTTGTAAGTCAAAAGAGTTGCTGTGGCAGTCTAAAGAAGCAGATTTTCCAGGTGTCTGATGGGCAGCCAAAACCTGATTCGACTCATTTATTTTAGCAAATAGTCACTTTCGGCAAACTGGAATTACAGCCCACCCAGGTGTGTTAAGCAACTTCTGCTGGAGAAAACACTATGGACCTGAAGTTACAAAATCACTGATGAAAAGTCATCACCCCCACTTTTTCTTGGGCTGGAGCACTTGCAAAACACAAGCAGATCAAGACTCAGTTCTTCCTCCTCCACAGAAATG